CAAAGCAAAAACATAGATAATTAGACAAGTTTAATGTAAGTGTATATGAACAAAACCTAATTATCAACAAATCCATCATGCGTCCTGTATATCTCCAGTGTTTTGTCCCCCAACAGGTCGTTCTTACTCAGATCTCAAATATTAGGGTAATAACAGCTGAGTCTATAAGCCAGTTTCCAAGGCAATGCATATTACATTTACATTAAAATACACATACTGCTTCTGTCTCTTCCCCAACCCCACAAAAAAATTATTTTAAGACCAGAAACTGAAGAAAACAAGCAGCAAAATAAAACACAAGAGGCATTCAACATCAGTAATAAAAGCAGGACAGTTTGGAACAATTGATCCAATATTAAAAGCTCACTGAAACAAGGCTAACTTCATTATCTCTGAAATATTAACAGCAAAGGGTCTGGTCAGGTTTCTGGCATCTATGAACCATGACCAGCAACTACAATCAATCTATCCAGTGTACTTACCAACCTAGCCTCAGACAGTAGTATCACACAGAACAATGAGTCCCTAGATTATTTCAACAGCCTGGAAAAATTGTGTTGGAGAAAGTGGTCCTTTAGATACCCTTGCCTATTTTAGGCTTTGAAGGTGATAAATTTAAATCAGACTCAACACACTAGAAACCAACATACGAGATAAAATATCAGAACTATATGACCCAAATATTAGCTTCCAACATCAACTTGGCAGCAGCATTCTGCACCAGTTGCAGGTTTCAAAGACTTGTCCACATAAAGGCAGCCCACATAAAGCAAGACACAGTAGTCCAGCAGGGATGTGACAAATTATGTGAGGCTCATTCAGAGACAGCCAGAATTAAAACATCAGCCTAGGCTGTGCAAGAGCACATTTTCAACCTGCCCATCTGCGGAAGAAAGCAAGGACCAGAAGCACTTCCAAACTGCAAACCTGATTTTTCAAAGAGAGTGTTACCTCATTCAAAGACAAATTCACATTCTCCAATCAACTTTCTTACTGAAACAATTTACCTTTGCATTATCTAGATTAATCAGCAGCTATTTAGCTCCCAGACTCCACTTTAAGGTTCCCACTGCCTCTCTATGAAATCTGATGCTAGTGTTGATGTCCTCCACATACTGATGAACTCCAGAAGAATGATGAGCATCTCCCACTGGTTTCATATAAATTATACAGAGAGGTCCCAGCTCCTGCATGATACAGTCTGCTCAGATAGATCTATATGATTCCAAAGGGCAGGTGGAGGGACAGAGGTGGGGCAGATGACTTTGCAGCTTCAAGGCTGTCTAGTGAAGATTGTTAGATGGAGCATGAGAAGTAGCCTGCTTTGAAAAAGGAGAGCTTTCGGAACTGGGGATGGGGCAGACTGGGAGGCAGTTCTTGATTGGTCAGGAGACAACAGGCAAAACGAGCAGACAAGTTAAGAAGTGTCCTATGTTCCCTGTCATTTAGTACTCAAGCAGCAGGAACCACCCTGAAGGTAGAGTAAGAAAGGCAAGGAAAGAGAGTAAGCTTCAGTTTGGATTCAACTGTTTACAAGGGCAGATGCATCTCTCACAGCTTAAGGAGAATGCAACATTGATTTATAGTGTTTTGTAAACTGCTAGGTTTTAATTAAAATACGTTGCTTCTAAAGTTTCATCTGAGTCTGCTGGAGTGGAAAAGAGGGAAGGAGAGATCTGCTTATGACATAGATGTTAGAATTGCAGGGAGGTCTTTATCTGGGGCATTGGCCAAGAAAACGAACAGTAGTCTTCTAGAAACACTTTCCAAAAGTGATTCCAGATAGGATTGGAACTAGTACAAAGCTGCCCCCTCCTCCAAACCCAGAACAGCAACATGGTTGATGAAATACACCATGCCACTGGAATATCCAGCAGCAGTAAAGGGGGCAAAACTAAAAGGGACATGCTCCTGCTCTACAGTTTCCAGCATAAATGGGTCCACTAAAGTGCTCGGCTTCAAACCTGGACTAGAAAATAGAGTGAAATGATGTTAGTATCACTATCATCCAAGTACTTTTATGTTCCTTTACTAAACTGACATCTAACAGTTTTGTTTGCTTGTTTTCTGATTGTATGACAATTTTTTCATACAGAGTCCCAATCCTCAAAGTCTTCCAAAGGCTACATATTTTAAAAGAAAAACGCTAAAAAAGGAACAAGACTTTCAAGTGAAAGGGAGAACCCATAAGCGCTTACTGCTTCACTAGGAAGAATTCTGCAGAATGAACTCATCACCATTTATTTATTTATGAGATTTTTTTTGCTGCCTATCAAAGCCTTGTTGGTGGCTCACAAGAATGATAAACAAATAAAAGCATAATCATATCAAATCAGAACATTAAAATAAAATTAATAAAATCAACAGAAAACACCGTAAGAAACTCTTATTTTTAAAGCAGCGTATGTAAAAATAATGGGATCTAAACTGGACCATGAACTGCCTCTAGTCTTTTTGGAAACAAGATAGGGAAAAATATTGGAAGTGGGAATTCACATCTTCTACTCAGATGTGTTTTTATCTGGAAAGAGGCATACAGAAAATACACAATCTGTAAAATAAGAGGTTCTGGCTTCAATCCTGATAACAAGCCATACTGTTCCTCATATTAGTGGTAGTTATTGGCAGGCAAGAAAAAGGCAGTATGTGAAAAAGTCCTGGGTGCCAGTCTACTAGTGCACTAAAAAGTACCACAGCTAAGACATAATATGTTAGGGGATTTCTTCTGCTTGTTGGTTGGCACTATTACTTCCATTAAGCTTTTAATTCATTTCTTTTTGCATATATTTTAATAAGATTTGTTTTTAATTTGCATTTTATTGTTAGCTGTCTTGAGCACCACTTTTGGTGGAAACTAAATTGATTAAATATGAGACAACCCAGTAGTCTCTGGAAAAATGATCCTCAAAGCCAAACACGCTGAACTCTCTCATGACTAGCATGACAAGGTGAGATTTGACTTGGCCATATATAAATCCAGCTAGATAATACAGTATTCCTTGGGCTGTATATGGTGCCTTGCAGAATTATTCAGCCCCCGCCCTTTGACTTTTCATATCGTAACTGAAATTGATTTATTTGGCACTGGTATTACTTGATGTACGCAAGATACTCAACACTGTGAAGCTGCTAAACCTTTTCATTGTGGCAGAAAAAACTGGCACACATTTGTTGCATAAGTACTTACCCCTTGAGTCAACACTTGGTAGAAGCACCATTGGCAGCTTGTGAGTCTTATTGGGTAAGCTTCTATCAGCTTTGTACATCTGGGCTCTGTCATCTTTGCCCATTCTTCCTGGCAAAACTACTCCAGGTATGTCAGGTTGGATGGCGGCCACTGGTGATCAGTAACTTTCTTGTTTTGCCAGAGATTCTCAACTGGGGTGAGGTGTGGGTTTTGGCTGGCCCATTCTAAAACATTCAGGTTCTCATTTTTAAATCATTCTATTCTTACTCTGGTTGCATGCTTAGGGTCACTGCTCTGTTGAAAAGTGAACCTCTACCCCAGAAACAAGTCTCTTGCAGACTGAAGCAGGTTTTCCTCTAGAATTACCCTGTAATTGTCTTCATCCATCTTGCCTCAATTTTGACCAGTTTTTCAGTCCCTGTTGAGGAAAAGTATCCCCACAACATGATGCTGCTGCCACCAGGCAATGAGCACTGTTGGCTTTGTACCACACACAGCATTTGTGGTGACACTAAAAAGTTCAATCCTCATTGCATCAGATGAGAGAATTCTTTCCCATGTGTTTGCTGTATGTCCCGCATGCCTTTTTTAAACTACAAATGAGCTTTGATATGGGTTTGTTTCAGCAATGGCTTTCTCCTTGCCACTCTTCTATAAAACCCAGCTTTGTGGACCATGCCGGTGATAGCTGTCCCATGAACAGTGTCTCCCATCTCAGCTGTGGATCTGCAGCACTTTCAGAGTTCCCATTGGCCTCTTGGTTGCTTCTCTAACTCCCTTCTTAACCAGTCA